TGTAACAGGTACATGTACTGTCATCGAATTTAAGTTCATCTTTGTATAATAAGGTTCCATATTGGACTTGCAATGTGTAGAGTATACGAAATCTTTTCAAAAGTTTATGCTATGCACCATACTGGCAAGAAACGCAAACATACGGCAATGAGTTTATGACCCAGACAAAGTCCAAGTCAGATATAGACACACCGTGTAAACAATGAAAATGAATGGTTAGGTCCCGTATTCGACCTTTGGATGGATGTAAAAACGAACTGGTCGGTTTGGAGGGGTGTGTCGTTTAGGTCGACTTGTTCCACACAATGAGCAGTCAATGTTTTTACAACGGCACAGTTAATGCTAAAATGTTCACCGGAACATAACTGAATAAGGATCACGCTGTAAAAAGTCATTTTTATTTGTGCATTCATTGGGGCATGATAAATAACAAATATAAATAAAGTTGATAGCTGTCCTTAAATAAAATAACATAACAGATGGTTTTATTTTGATACACACACATTATACATTAAACTATCCATTGCATTTACTAGTACTAGTATATGTATTAGAGTAATCTTTATATTATGCTCTATATTATATGATATATAGTCGAAAGATTTACCTTGACTTCGTTCTGTACAAGTCCGTGGTTGTGGTCACTCACCCATGTTGTTGTAAACACCGCGCCAAATGACGCCCTTCCGCCGCTCTCATGATCTCCCTCCTCGATTTTGCAGGAGGGCCCTCTTGGCACTCAAGAGTACGCACGCGAGAGACGCTCGGGCTTAGGAAATTCATCGCTCGTGCGAAACACTGCAAAACGAACGCACCCAGTACGATCGTGAGTCACACTCTCACCGGACTGCACGGGCTGGGTGCTGGATGTAGGTCATGACATCGGCCTACTCGGACATCCCCGTGAAGACCGCAGACTCTTGGCCTTGATCTTCCCGATAGCCTTGTTCTCTGCTCGGTTATTTCTCTGCTCTGCCTGTCATCGTCCGAGTTCTCAGCCAAAGCACATGACACCTAGTGATGTACCATTTCCCAACCAGCTTCGGAAGAATCAGCTATTCGTATCAACTTATTAGGCTTCTCTATCCAAGATACCTCGTTCTGCACAACGTCTTTCATGTAGTCTAGCTTCTCATACTCGAAACCAATTTCAATATGACGAAAGGCCTACATGTCTCTGTTTTAAAATTGTGCCGGATTCGATTACCTTCTATTGACTACGTAAAGTCTTTATCAGCCTTGGATTTCGTTAGTGTTTTTTCGCAACCTCTTCCCTCAAACGCTCGAGACTAGCCTCAATTCTTGATGCGATCTTGCGTTCTAAATCCACCTGAGAAGAGTCCAAACGCTTTAAAATAGCATCGAATTTGTCGTTAATAGAATTGCTAGATTCTTCAGAAGTACCATTGACGCAATGTATACTTGGTGCACAACAAGCGAGAATGACAATTCAAATATCTTACGCCATATATACTGTCGTTATAATGGTGCCTCCTACAACTGAACTGCATCCCTTTGTTGTATTGCCTTACGCTAGGAGAAAGTAATTTCTATCTCATTCGTCCCTCACACGATATATGCAGAATATGGTCAGTAGCTGGATGTAGATAAGTGGTGGGATATGCAGAGATCTTTCTCTGAAACAGATTCCTCAAGGAGTTTTCCTTTACTGTAGGACCTGTAAGTCTCGCGACGCGCTACTTCCGGTATTAAGGTGGTTCCCGGCATCCTTTGCATGCGCCAACTTGAGATATGGGAGACGGGGCCCAGCCTACTTCCGGTACCAGATTTCCGGTGACAAGCATATAGTCAAGAGTCAGTGAGTGAGATTAGTTTAACGCCATTTTTAGCAGTATTCCATCAATATCACGGCGGGGGACACCATACATCGGCTTCACACATATATTGAAAAGCCAGGCCTGGTTCCAACTTGCGCGACCATCAAATATTTCCAGAGCGGACAATTGTACAAACATGCTTGGCAGTCACAGCTCTTGACAGTCGTAATAGTTGGCTGATTTGGGGATGGTTAGATCGGTAATGTGTTATTCCTGCAAGGATGATCGGTTCCTTACTGCCAACTTTACAACCGTGACACCATTCGAAAAGTATGAAACGTTGTTTGTCACCGGAAGTACCAAGGCCTCGCGAAGTGCCGTGACCTACTTACGGGCGCTCTAACATACCGGACCACAGCTATAAGTTTTGATAAACGAAACAATGATATTATAACTTGAAACATAAAGAAGACCATATCCGTTTGACACAATAACGTTTTTTTTTTAAATGAGTGTGGTGATACTAATTGTTACACTTTGTTGTATTTTACGGGCGGTTGGGTAGTCCAGTGGTTAAAGCGTTGGCTCGTCACGCCGAAGACCTGGGTTCGAATCCCCACATGGGTAGAATGAGTGAAGCCCATTTCTGGTGTCTCCCGCAGTGATATTGCTGGAATATTGCTAAAAGCGGCGTAAAACCAAACTCAGTCAGTCAGTCAGTTGTTGTATTTTAGCATAAACAAGATTCGAGGAAAGGACAGTTTTGTCTGCTCATTTTATTCGACCCAAAATGGGCGAGATATTATAACAGTATTACAGCTGAATGAAGTTAAAATAATTATGTGTCATGATACTTGCATGTATTTTTAAACTGTATATTTGCAATATAAGGAAACATTTAAGCAAAAGTAAACATTTGACTCATGGGCGAGATATTATATTAACGCTCTAAATTGGCCGAATTAAGTTTAAAAGAGTTGAATTTTATGTCATGATACTTTTAAAACATACTTTCATTCATCTACAAGTAAACATTCTCGCCCATGGGCCGGCCTATGGGCGAAGTAGTTAAATTTGGACTTTTCGAAAAAAAGAAAAACCCAACTTTTTTTCAACCTAAGCATACATTCATGTTAACTGTTGAATTTTGTCGAAACCCTTTGTCAGAACTTCTGATTGGCCTCGGTGCAGAGAGTCTTGACTTTTGTGTTTCCAGACTTTAATTGTGTTAGACGCAATCGTAGCGGTCGTATAAAGCATTCATAACGAAAATGCATTCGTCCTCCTGTTTATCACTTGATTGTCTGGTCCAGACTGGTTTATTTACAGACTCCTCCATCGAACGGGTGACCTTCTTGAACGCAGTCTGGTGCCGGTCGCTCTCCCCTGCGTCGAAAAACTCGAACTCTGCCATCGTTTCTTAACATCACCTGTAGAGATCACTCTCTCCCAGTCACGTCGCTGCCACCGACGTACAGTTCGTGCCCATGGCAGTCAGCGTTGACGGTGTAGACGGGTCAAGGCCATTCAACGAAAGGGGCGGTGGGCTCGTATACCAGCCATACCAAGTCGTCGAGGGACTGTTCGTCTGTTGATGGCGTGTCCTAGTGCTGTCGTCTCGGTCACGAATCTGTTCCGGAGGTGGATCTGCCGGGTATAGCGGTCATCGGCCGGTGTCGTGACTCTCGGTCTTCCCGATCGTGGACGGTCTTGGGTCTGGCCTGTTTGCAATGTTTATCAATTTGTTGATGGTGGCTTGGCTTCAGTTGAAGGGTTTGCCAGCTGACGTTTGAAGCTCCCATATTGGCCATACCGATCGCCCTGTCTCGTTTAGCTGGCGTAACTCTTGGTAAATTCGTCTTGGTTTTGTGGTTTGTACTCCATGCTTGCTCTGACCATGTTGCGTTTTGGCAAATGTTTTCTGCTTGGGTTCAAACCGGTACCAGCGTTTTTGCTTTATATACAATTACTTTAAAAGTGATAACTTTCTTTTACCAGGTAGTTTAGTTCAGAATTGGAGGAGATACATATTTCATACAATATAGGACAAAATATAGGATTAAATTTAGGATAAAATGCAAAAACGTAAGTGCAAAAGAATTCCCAGTCTTGATTATTCTCAGAAACAAATTCCGTTAGGGTGAGTGAGTGAGTATGGTTCCACGCCGCTTTTAGCAATATTCCAGCAATATCAGGGCGAAGAACACCAGAAATGGGCTTCACACATTGTACCCATGTAGGGAATCGAACCCAGGTCATCGTCGTGACAAGCGAACGCTATATATATAGCTATGAAAATGATATGAATGTCTCGCGGAGATTCAGTGACAACACCGGGTGTTCTCGAAGAGGATAAATCCTTCCTTTTGATGGATTATGTTATCCCATGGTGCATTGTGGGACATTGTGGGCGCTTGGCGACTGCAGACATCCGAATTTATGACACTGCACCTCTCGACAAGCGGAGTTAACAGACAGCTTTCAACTGTATTGATTCATGTCACCGATTCACCGTGTGTTACGACCTGGGTGCTGTTGTACAAAGGTATCGTAGTGTACGACTGTCGTAACACCTATACTGTAACAGACTTACGACAGTCTTAGCGCTACGACTGCTTTGAACAACGACATCCAGCGCAGGTTGTTGGGGACCAGTTCTAAATCGGAGTCTCGAACCGGACTTACAATTCTATTATCTACGCAAGGTCAGATTAATACAAAATTTGTTTGTTTGTTTGTCTGTGCATGCGTGAGTCTGGGTGTGTGTGCATGCATGCGTGAGTCTGTGTGTGTACATGCGTGAGTCTGTGTGTGTGTACATGTGTGAGTCTGTGTATGTACATGCGTGAGTCTGCGAGTGTGCATGCGTGAGTCTGAGTGTGCATGCGTGAGTCTGTGAGTGTGCATGCGTGAGTCTGTGTGTGTGCATGCGTAAGTCTGTGAGTGTGCATGCGTGAGTCTGTGTGCTGCTGGTACTTACACCGGTACTCGTGAAGATTCGGGGTAGAATTGGTCTTCAACAAACCATGCTTCTCATGCTAAAGAGATCGGGTGGTCAGGCTCGCTGACTTGGTTGACACATGCCATCGTAACGCAATTGCTTAGATTGATGCTCATGCTGTTGATCACTGGATTGTCTGGTTAAGACTATTATTTACAGGCCTCCTCACATCGCTCGATTGTTGTCGAATGCAACAAATTAAATGAGTAGTACCCTTTCAGTGAAGATGAACATATTTTTATTACTAAACCGAAGTGCAATACAGCATGCATGGTAAATGTACACATGGATATAATGTTCTAGGTATAATAAATACAGATGGCATTTATATAAACGTGAAGCAAAAACACGATACTATGAACTCTCGTTATACTACTCAATTTAGATCGACATATACGTAGTTCGACATAAAGTAAAGTCGACATTACACAGCCATAGGGAGTGTATTGTAGGAGTCGAATGACAACCTTTGTCGTTGTACCGCGATGGATATTTAATAAACAAATAAATACATTAATAAATCATTCAAGCAATGGTAACAGGCGAAACATCAAATGAGTGAGGAGGTTTTGATTTCTCGGCGTTGGTGCCAAATTAACACATATTGCTCAAAATATTTTGGGACTGAAAATATACATTTATGGAGATAAATAAGGCATTGTCATATCACATATCAAGACAAAAACCCGTGTTTTTTTCAAGCGCTATGTGAGTTCTATATGGTACAGGGCGGTCAATAGAATCTTCTGTAAAACACATATTACAGTCCGATCTAAAATTACAGCCTACATCGCAATTCTAACACGCATCATGGGTATTCTATACTAGGTGTAAATATATAAGCGATAATTCGGATACATACCATTCGTGACCAACTCGTGTTATTCCGGAAAGGGACGACGAATGGAGACATACATGATTTAGGACTCTTTATTAGAGTTATCTGCCCTTGGCCTAATCGGGGCATTCTGGATGACAAAATGAAAATCGAGAGAAGGCCTGAAAGTTAGAGTTTGCAGGATAGAGGTAATGACGTAGGTGTTAAAAAACTTATTTGACTAAGCACCATTTGATGTACGATCGAATGCTCGAAACCACAGGGCGGGTTTTGTGCGTAACTTCCTGTCCTGCGCAGATACATGGTGTCTTTCAAACCTTCCCATAGCCAGACCGCCGACCACATGTGAATGTGAGAATGACCCCATCCTGTAAAATGAGAGAGTGAGTGAGTTTAGTTTTACGCAGCTTTTAGCAATATTCCAGCAATATCACGGCGGGGGGACACAAAAAAATGTTGGGAATCGAACTCGGGTGTGCGGCGTGGTAAACGAACGCTTTAGCTGCCCCGCCGCCCCCGTCCTGTAAACTATGTTCAAACACATGTCACAACTCACCAGTGATGTGAAATATGTTTATTTGTTTCAGACATTTTTGTCATTTTCCCCTCAAAATTGCGTCTCCGACCTTTATCGATAATCGATCTATATTTAGTTAACGATTATCGATCTGTTTTTCACTTCATTTGGTAAGGAGCAGTTAACCCAGAGATTTAGGCGTTCTTTCATTATCCGTTCTGCTTGTCTGCATATTGATGAAGAGGAAGAATGTTTATGGATAGGCAACTTCTTTATCGCAAAAGATGCGACGTTTCGGTGTAGACGCTGATTTCAAGCAGGGGACAAGCAAGTGTCAGCATCTACCCCGAAGCATCGCATTTATTGCAATAAAGAAATTGTCTATCTAAAAAAAAATCCTCTTCATCATACCAGCTTCTAAAAGCCACTTAAACATGTTCAAATGCATATTGATGGTTCAGCATGGATGATAAAACGTGGTCAAGGAATTTCGTAATTAGAAGAAAATGAAAATACCAATTACTCACTCGTATGAGACCTGGTAGCGCCGACCATAGGTTGTAGTTGGGTACCATCTCTCTGCCAGACGCTTTTCGTACAAAGGCTTGAAACACCAGGCCCGCTAAGATGTATACGAACGCCATACCAAAGAAACTGCAAGAGATTGTTAAGAGTGAGTGAGTGAGTTTAGGTTTACGCCGGTTTTAGCAATATTCCAGCAATATCACTTCGGGGACACCAGAAATTGGCTTCACGCATTTTGCCCATGTGGGAATCGAACCCGGGTCTTCAGCGTGACGAGCGAACGCTTTAACCACTAGGCTACCCCACCACCCTGATTGTTAAGACCAACGTTTAGATGTGCAGAGGGTAATTTGGCTTTCTAGTCATGAACATTATAGCTTCGTCACATGTGAAAATGAGTGGGATATATAGAAAATATCAAACTGATGTCTCTAGGGGAGACGTTTAGGGGATAGAAGTAACGTTTTGTTTTACGCCGCACTCGTCAATGTTCTCGCCCGGTGACTTTTAAAATGGGATGTGAAATAGAAAACAGCGTGATTAATATCATGAGCAACGAGCAAATACACCGGAGCATGATGACACAATACCAACAGAGTTATCGAGCCAGGCCAACAAGTAAAACTCGCTGTGGAACAATCAGCCCAGACCCTCACACTCTCTAAACAGTCGGTACTGTAAAGATCCAACCCATGCTTGTCCTAAAAAGGCAGCTATCGGGATTGGGTGGTCAGGGTCGCTGACTTTGTTGTCGCATGCTGTTTCCCCCCATTTCCTAAATCGATGCTCATGATGTCAATCACTGGACTGTCTAGTTGTTGTCTGATTATTTACAAACCGCCATGAGTGCAACGTCAAACAAGCATACAAACGAACAAACACAAACACATGTCGCAGGTCAGACACAGTAGACTGACAATACGCTCAAAGAGCTGACTGGCACTTGTATTTCCATATGGTTACGGACCGCCTTCGTGGTGTAGTTGGTAGAGCGTCCGCCCGGAGCGCGGAAGGTCGCGGGTTCGATCCCCGACCGCGTCGTACCAAAAGACGTTAAAATATGGTACTTGTTGGTCCCTGCCTGGCGCTCGGCATTAATGGGTACAACAAGGACTGGTCGGCTAGGAGTCAGTATAATGTGTCTGAGTGGGGTATTCATGCTTCTCTGCGGCATGGTATCTCAGTGGGCTAGCACTATAAAACCAGCTTAAGTCTGGGCTAGTACAAGCAGCCGCACATACACACACACACGCACACGCATGCACACGTCGTCATATGAGCGAAATATTCTCAAGCACGACGTTAAACCCAATTCCACCACCACCACCATATGGTTACAATGCGTGAAGCCCATTTCTGGTGTCCTCCACCGTGATATTGCTGGAATATTGCTGGAATATTGCTAAAGCGGCGTAAAACCAGTCAGAGCTCCAGATAAGCTTTTGGCCATGTGGGTATGATACCCATACTTTTTCAACTAAGTGGTTATTTCCAATTTCAAGTGGGTATCTAAACATTTTGATACCCACCATATTTTTAAAATTCGGGCATTTATTTCAAATATCAATTTTAAGAGGTGCAACATTTTTTTCATTCGATAATAGAGATAATACAAGATCCTCCAGGCTAAAGATGAATAACAAATAAGAAATATTATGTGCCTTGGTCTGCATCTGTTTTGGTGCCGCGAACAGCTAATGTTACAAGTTCATTTAAGATATCACCGTCAATTGAATCTGATTGTGAAACACAGCACTTGCCTATAAATTAATCTAGCAGTGATCTAATGAAATAGTTTTCTGTTTGTAGCGTAAAATAACTAGATATTTTATTTTGAGTGTGTTTAAGCTTTCGACCACGCTTGCACGACATTATCAGTATTACATTACATGTAGAAAGACAACAGCTATTTGATTGGTCGCTATTTATAGATGGGCCAATCAGTGAGGGATTAACAAACCATGACTGGTATTATATCTGTGTTGCGCATCTTAAATGCGTTTTCAATTATTCAAGATTCTTTTAATCACGAAAATTTGGAGATGGAAAAACTTCAAGTTTATTTCCATTGGTTTGATTTGATACGATACCAACATAATTTCGATGCATTGGGTACATACGCATTGCTATTTTGACATAGCGTAAACGTAAATATTTAGTGTTTTTTCGTACGCTGGCATTTATTTTTCTTGCGTATTTCAACTTTTCTACAGCGTATTGTACGCAAATACGCAGCTTATCTGGAGCTCTGAAACCACACTCACTCACTGTATTTCCTTGCTGCCAAGCGCCAGGCAGGGCAACAACAAGTACGATGCGGACGGGGACTGAATCACCAGCCCTCGACTTAGACGCTCCATCAAGATGTGATGGTCGGACGTCACTGACCTCCCGTACCGATTCTTATTGCACCCTGGATTTTCTGGGGATTAAATCTCCATTCTGCTACGATTATTTACAGACGCCTGTCATACAGCTTAAGGGGCGGCGGAGTAGCCTAGTGGTTAAAGCGTTAGCTCATCACGCTGAAGACCAGGGTTCGATTCCCATCTTAGATATAATGTGTCAAGCACATTTTTTGGTGTCCTTCGCCATGATATTGCTGGAATATTGCTAAAAGTTGCGTAAAACTAAACTCACTCACTCACTCATATAGCTTGACCGTTGCTGAGTGCAGCGTTGAACAACAAACAAATTAGACATTGGGAACGCCCATGCACGTACATTATGACAACGATGCTGCCTGCAGACAGCCCTCCCCCTCCATTGTCTTCGGGGTTAGGAAAACAACAGTGCTTGCTGGTTAGCGTGAAGTACTGAAATATACAAATATACAAGTTTACTCTTCATGCATTTCGGATGTGTCGAACAATAGTAAACGCGGTAGTTTGTGTTATCGCTATCGGGATTAGGAGCGCCGACTGACCTTTGGTACTATATCTATTCAGTTGACTGTATAATAATCATATCTGTTGTAAATAATGTGGCATATTGTCGCTGATCGTTCAATACCAGCGCGGCAATACCGGCTGCCCCTTTAGACCCGGAAGTGACTCACTATCACAGCGGTATTGCTATTTGCAGACTACGGCATGCCATACAGGCATATAACACTGTCTGACATTAGAAACGAATGTTAATGATATTAATGTTAAAAAATATTTTGGAATTGTAATAGGATCAGCAATGTAAATTTCCTTTTTAAAAATGATTTTAACTACTATTCATTTTCAAACATGGAAAGAAACGTATCAAAATAATGTTTAGCCTCAAAACGTGACATAACATTTGCTTCCGTTTGATCTACGTCAAACTCAGTAGAAATACAGTCAAACACCTTTGCACAATATTAACAAAATTTAAGGATAACAGCTTCTTATATTTCGAGCGTCGTTTGTCAATATTTTACTTCATGAATTTTTACATACTTCGAGTTATGCGAGGGTCGACGCAACTGCAAACTAAGACTTAATAAGAAATACACAGGGAACTTCGAGAAAACCGTTAGTTCGACACATCAAATCTCAACCCAACGATGTTTAACTGTATGTACAACAATTTATGTAAATACTTCGAGTTATCCGAGGTTTGACACAACTGCAAAAAGAATAGGATAGGATACTATATATAGCGCACATATCCACGTAACTAGTACATGCTCAAAGCGCTGGGTTTTTACCCTCGATCATTGGATGTCAGTCTCAGCGGCACAATGTATTATCAATCTCATCTCCCTTGGGAGCATACAACTCTTGCAGCCACTATGCGCACCAAGTTATTGCGGCTTTTCCACCCTTACGAGGTACCCATTCACAGCTGGGTGGACTGGGACATATATTCACAGTACTTAGTCCAAGTTTACTGCACGCTGCTGTACCCGCAACTGGGTGTTTGCACGTATCCATGTGGCCACCAACTGGTCATTTACCAACAGATTCCCGGGTTCTTTTAAGTGCACAGGGCTGGGTACTGTACACTAGGGGTTGTGACAACACTGAAAGAGTCGTCACAGGTGGGCTCGATCCCGGCACCTCAGGCTCGCTGGATCACTAGCCTGGCGCCTTAGACAGCTCGCCCACCAATACTATATAATGGATGCGCAGAGGCCAAACTTCGAGAAAACCGTAAGTTCGATACATCAAATCTCAACCCAACGATGTTTATCTATAATACTATGTACAGCAATTGACTTACGTATAATGCACTTCCTGGGGGGTTTTCACCGTCAACCGTAAAACTTTCAGTGGTTTCATCACATTTGAGAGTTACATAAGATGTTCTGCAAGTAAACAATACTGATTACGAAATTCGAGGAAATGAAGCTGATCGTGCTTCACCGGTAGATTCATGAATACCAGAGAGAAATGGTTTAGGATTCAGGATTCATTAATAATGGTTGTGGATTTAAAAATGCTCTCCAGTATTGTTTCAGGGCTCCAAAGATTCGCAAGTAAGGACACACCTTTTGCAGTTTGTAGTCACGCTCGGGAGATTACAAGTATATATTTTCCCGTGTTGTTTGAAGTGACGCTCAGGTGAGATAAGTAGCTATTTAAACCTTGTCATGTATGTACGGATTCTCAGGAGATACAAGTAGATAGTTTCACCTGTGTTATTTGAAGTGACGATCAGGTGAGATCAGTAGCTATTTGAAACTTGTCATGTATGTACGGATTCTCAGGAGATACAAGTAGATAGTTTCACCAGTGTTGTTTGAAGAGACACTCAGGTGAGATAAGTAGCTATTTGAACCTTGCAGAGTATGTACGGATTCTCAGGAGATACAAGTAGATAGTTTCACCTGTGTTGTTTGAAGTGACGCTCAGGTGAGATAAGTAGCTATTTGAACCTTGTCATGTATGTACGGATTCTCAGGAGATACAAGTAGATAGTTTCACCTGTGTTGTTTGAAGAGACACTCAGGTGAGATAAGTAGATATTTGGACCTTGCAGAGTATGTTCGGAATATCAGGCGATACAAGTACATGTAGATATTTTCACTTTGAGTAGTTTGTAGTGACGCTCAGGTGAGATAAGTAGATATTTGGACCTTGTCATGTATGTTCGGATTCTCAGGAGATACAAGTATATATTTTCCCGTGTTGTTTGAAGTGACGCTCAGGTGAGATAAGTAGATATTTTCACCTTGTGTGGTTTGTCGTGACGCTCAGGAGATTACAAGTATATCTTTTCCCGTGTTGTTTGTCGTGACGCTCAGGAGATACCAGTAGATATTTTCCCCTAGTAGTGTGTGCAGTAATAATCGGGTAAAACAAGTCGATATGTTGATCTTGGGGTGCCTGGGGTGATGTTTAGGCGAGAAGAATATAACTTTTGATCTGTAGTGCTTCTCAGATATGATAGGTGGATAAATTTACCTTTTTGTATCTGTCGATGCGCTGTATTCTATCTGTAGGCCATTAGTGGGGTCATCTTTGAACTTTGCCGAAGCTTGATCGCCAAGATTGAAGTAGGAGGAAATTGTATCCGTCTGACACGCCTGTACAACAAGGATTAGATGACAATTTATGTCAGCCGAAGCAACGGCAACGCGTGGCCCATGAAGTATCCACCATTCTTCCGTGACTTCAGTAAATACTGGATTGTCATTGGTTAATTAAAGTCATTCAGAGGTATGTAAGCCCGTTATACACATCTAATTTTGTAATTTTATGCATATTTTTAAAAATCTTAATAACGCGGTTATGATAGAATGGAGATAAACATACTTTGTTGGAAAACCAGAGGTATATAACGTAATTATATTAGCTCTAAGTTTTATAGTATGTTTATCTCCTAATTATTGGTTTCGAATCCAATATAACCCTTAAGTTCTTGAAAGGCTTTTAGAAGTTGATGAACATGAATGCAAGACACGTTTTATGATTAACAACTTCTATTTATTCTTTATGCGACGTTTCAGAGCTAATTCGTACTCCTTCATCGTTCACCCGATTAAGGACGAATAAAAAGAAGTTGTTACCCATAAAACTAGTCATGTATTATATAACCCTTAATCTGCCAGCCGCCTCCGTGGAGTAGTGGTTAGAGCGTCCGCCCGGAGAGCGGAAGGTCGCGGGTTCGATCCCCGACCGCGTCATACCAAAAGACGTTAAAATATGGTACTTGTTGGTCCCTGTCTGGCGCTCTGCATTAATGGGTACAACAAGGACCGGTCGGCTAGGAGTCAATATACTGTGTCTGAGTGGGGTATTCATGCTTCACTGCGGCATGATATCTCAGTGAGCTAGCACTATAAAACCAGCTTAAGTCTGGGCTAGTACAAGCAGCCGCACATACACATACACACGCATGCACGTCGTCATATGAGCGAAATATTCTCAAGCACGACGTTAAACCCAATTTCACCTTACCTCACCTTAATCTGCCATTAATTAAATATCCTTTACCTAACCAGATAATGTTTAAATAAAAACTCACTATATGAAACAGTCACCTGTACAACTTGTTTCTGCTATATTTAAGTTTGTATTCACGAGGATAATATGCGGTGGACTATACGCTCTATCAACGTAAGCTATAAGGACGTAAAGACGTAAAGAAGGACCTAAGAAGCAACCCGGCTCTTTAGGTCATACGTTCACAGTGAGGTGAGGTGAGGTGAAATTGGGTTTAAGGTCGTGCTTGAGAATATTTCGCCCATATGACGACGTGCATGCGTGTGTATGTGTATGTGCGGCTGCTTGTACTAGCCTAGACTGAAGCTGGTTTTAAAGTGCTAGCCCACTGAGATACCATGCCGCAATGAAGCATGAATACCCCACTCAGACACATTATACTGACTCCTAGCCGACCAGTCCTTGTTGTACCCATTAATGCCGAGCGTCAGGCAGGGACCAACAAGTACCATATTTTAACGTCTTTTGGTGGATGAGGCTAAGTATCCAACATAATTTCAGAATTGTCAAACCAACACACCTGCTTACACTGTCTTCCTTTGTAAACCACAAGGTGCTGATTCGATTGAAACTCACACCCTTTTCCAGTACCTAAACTTGTGATTAACATGTCGACATAATGGAAGATGCCAACCTTACGTCTTTGGACAGTTTTACTTGACTTGTAATTAAAGAAATTGGTTGTTGGTTGTGTAACGCAGCCCTCAGCAATATTCCAGCTATATGGCAGCGGTATGTGAATAATCTAGTCTAGACCAGACAATCCAGTGATCAACATCATGACCATCGATCTACGCAATTGGGATACGATGACATGTGTCAACCAAGTCAGCGAGCCTGACCACCGGATTCAGTTAGTCACCTCTTAGGACAAGCATGGGTTGCTGAAGACAAATTATAACCCGGAACGTTTCACAGAGTATGGGTGATCATTAGCTTTGTGCCATATTTTGTCTTGATACCAGATACCAATATTTGAAGGCATCCAGCGAACTGGGATTTGACATCTGGAATACTAATTAACAAATTTCAGCATCCGGCCTGCTACAGAGAGGTTTCTCGTGATGTTGCAGCTTCTACAACATGGTGTATTCACGACGACGACGACGATGAACCACTTACCGCTACTTTGTCGCATCCCCCACTGCCCTCGGAGAACTCGTTGCACGGGTTGTAGGAGTAGTACCACTGTCCAGTACCGTCTGCCTTGTCGGCATATCTGGCGAGGATGAACGATAATAGAGTCTTATAGTCGGAATTATGGCATTGGAGTAAACAACAAACAAACAAAGAAACAAAGCACGTGACAATAGTTAACTTTGTGAGATAGTTTACCTGCTGACACAGATAGTTTAACGGGTAGTTTAACTCGTGTTGTAATAGTTAAGTTAAGGTTGTGGTGTACCTGGTATTAAAGTTTTATAACTGGGCTGTATTGCTTATACTGTGTAAATGTTAACCTTGTGCTATATTGATCTAGAGCTTTAGGAAAACAGTGTTATAACCGGTGTTATAGTTAAATTGGTGCTGTTGTTCCCTGGTTTAATACTTAACGGTGTATTATAGTTTACCTGGTGTGAAGGTAAACTGAGTGTGGTACATGTACCTGTCAGGGACCAATTGCACAGAGCAATCTTAGTTACAATCAATCTTAGGCCCCTACAATCAACTTTACAATCACCATACAATTGCCCTAATCCACTTGCACAAAGCCGATCTTAGAGCGATTGTAAGACGGCATGTATTTAAGATCGCGATCTTAGCTAAGATCGAACTCTTCAACGGTAGAGGTACGAATTTCTTAAACTCGACTCCCGTCTACAGTTGTCTGAAAGTGCGCATAGCATGCTGCGCAAATAAAAAGTGATACTGGTCCAAGCACACAATACATACCCCCCTCAATCGCACCTTGCAGAATTTTCGTGAAAAAGTCCGAGAAATCTTAGAAGGAACCGATTACGTGGACGATAGCATATATTTTTCTACATTCTAACTGTCTTGATTTATGAACTGAAAATGTGATATTGCAACCACAGAAATACCTACCCATGTTTTATGAAAATACTGAAATACGAAAAAATACATGAATAAATTTGAATCTAGATTTAGTGACTTAATTATGGAACTTAAAAAAAAAAATATCAACAGTATCTCCTTATGATATAACACCTAAATGTATGATTTGCCAATGGTTGTCAATGAGACATTGTTTAATACGCAGCTGTTGGTGTGTGTGTGTGTGTGTGTGTGTGTGTGTGTGTGTGTGTGTGTGTGTGTGTGTGTGTGTTGTTGGGTGTGTGTGTGTGTGTGTGTGGTGGGGTGGTGGGGGTGGTGTGGTGGTGTGATGGTGGTGGTGGTGGTAAAATCCTAAATATATCCTAGACTACAATACAATAAAATAATGGCTACAGAAGTGTTCTAAAGAATCCATGGCAGGGAAGTACGTGTATTAAATAATATTTCAAGAGAGTAGTAGTTATTAAAAACCTATTCACAGTATATAATTTATTTAACCCTATTGCGTTGATAAATATTTTCCTTAAAGTGAAATTCTTTTGAAACATAATTTTTTAATGCCTCAACATGTGTATATCCCTATTTGATGACTACTTGTATATATTTAAATTGCATAATCAAATTTAGATTTATGGATGAGAAAGAAACTTGAGTTTGCACGTTAACTTGTATCTAATTATAGATTACTTTAATGATAAACTAAGACAAAATCACTCCATGACCGAAAAGAGATATCAGTATGTTGAGCTCTGCACATTGGGCATGACAGACTGTACGGCAACGGCATATGCCAAGGGAAACCACTCCCATCTTGCGTATAAAGTAAAATTATCTGCTCTTGAGTTAATGAAAAGGTCACGGCCATTGTTAATCGCACGCTGACACCATTCACTATTATCCTTTCTTTGATTATCAAGAAGGTATGTTGTTTCACACTTATTTCAACATTGAATCGGGTGGGAATAGTACTTTGTGATATCGACTCGATAGTTATGTGTTTCACTACAGTAAATAACAATGTATCCGACGTTAAATCGGTTGTGCATTCTCCGTGTTGTTGAAGTGTCGAGGCGAACCACACAGTTTTATGCAATATAAATGCAATCTCCAAACGTAAAGCTGATTATTTGCGTGAAAGACACACTAATTTGAATGCCATTTCTAAAATGACTCAAATGATCTTAGCTCCTTGCAATTGGTCCGGACCAATTGTAAGTTTCGATTGTAACTTACAATGATCTTAGCCAACAATTGCTTTGTGCAAGTAGATGGCGATTGTAACCGAAGCCTAAGATCGCGATCTTAAGGAATTACAATAATTGTAGCGCTAAGATCGTTCTGTACACGCGGGCCCAGGTATGTTTTATGCTATACTTCACCTGGTATTACAGTGAGTGAGTGAGTATGGTTTTACGCCGCTTTTAGCAATATTCCAGCAGCATTACGACGGGGGACACCAGAAATGGACTTCACATATTGCACCCATGTGGGGCATCGAAACTGGTCTTCGGCGTGACGAGCCAACGCTTTAACCACTAGGTTACCCCACCGACCCCTGGTATTACAGGCTACTGCCTGTTCATTTACCAGGTGTAATAGTTTGTAATCTATTTCATACCTTACCTTCCCCATGGTCCCTAGTATGGTGATCTACCTTCAGTTGTTGGCGATCTACAGCCTGTTTGCATATTGTATTGTCCAAATGGTGATATTAGTTTTAACTTTCCACGCTAGTTTTAATTCTAATTGTGATATTCTAGTTGTTTTAGTGTCATTCGTCGACAGGTTCTTATAATATACATATATTCCATTTCAATGTCAAATATGTTCTCGTCACGATATGGCTGAAATATTGCCGATGTGACGTTAAATATTAACTCACTCACTCACTCTTACTTTACCTGGTCATATATCTATATCTGTATTGTGGTCATGTCAGTACTTTTGTTCGGTGTTATCGTCACAATGTGTACAGGTATGTGTTGCATTCCCCATGTGTCTCCTATCAGTAAAGGTTATCGTCCTCATTGTGAATCTCCACATCCTGGTCACACGCGGTGTGAGTACGTCATCGCGGTATACCCAGATAATATCAGATAAAGTTACCACGAGTACTGGCATCGGGTGGTCACGTTCTGTGACACTGCAGATTGTGCATTGTGTTGTCCAATGTCATGGTTCCTTGAGTGGAGATCGTGCTTTTAGTCATTGGTGTGCCAAACCTAAGGTTACACATCGTACAATATGAATAGTGTTGTGCTCACTATGGTGTTAAACAAACCTAAGGTTACACACCGTACAGTATGAATAGTGTTGAGCTCACTATGGTGTTAAACAAATCTAAGGTTACACACCGTACAGTATGAATAGTGTTGAGCTCACTATGGTGTTAAACAAACCTAAGGTTACACACCGTACAGTATGAATAGTGTTGAGCTCACTATGGTGTTAAACAAACCTAAGGTTACACACCGTACAGTATGAATAGTGTTGAGCTCACTATGGTGTTAAACAATATTCTCCGAATCTGATGTTGGTTTGTTTAACGCCGCACTCAGCAATATTCCAGCTATATGGCGGCGGTCTGTAAATAATCGCGTCTGAACCAGACAATCCAGTGATTAACAGCATGATCATCCATCTACGCAACTGGGATACGATGACAAGTCAGCGAGCCTGGCCACCTGATCCCTTTAGTCGTGTCTTACGTCACACACGTTTTGCTGAAGACCTACTAGTTTGCTGACTCCCCACCATCCGATCCCGTTAGTCGCCTCTTACAACAAGCATGGGTTACTGGAACAAATTCTAACCTGGATCTTCACGGGTTCAGGATCTGAGAGTGCAATAACCCAAGTATATCCCAAGAACGCCATATCAATCAGACTTGATCAATCATCAAACAGTACATGGTGAAGGTACTTACTTCGCAGTTCCGTCATTTTTACCCAGGGGTGACAAGTCAATGGTCCCTTTAGAGTTTTTACATGAACAAGAATTGATTTTCTTGCAGTCTTCAGATGAACTGGGCGTTATCATATAAACACACAAAATCACTATCAGCGTAGAAGCATTCATTTTTGGTCAAGGAAGAATCTTCAGTTAGACAACCATAATCCGACACAAGCGGCGTACAACACTGTCCCAAAACGTGAGAATCATGTGACAAGACAATCAGCACCTTCCCGGTGGAACTCGTGAGACAGTATACCCATATGACTAACCGACGTTATCCGAAGTTTTCCGAATGAACACTTGTCATATGATTACAATGAGCTATGCAAAGTTTATCGTATGTGAACTTGTGTATGAAGATATCTGTAGATAGTGACACATTCGCGACATTCAACAGTTATCTCCCTTAGATGGGTTAAAACTCTCTAGTGATGGTAACAATAAACTGATGAAATGTCGTGGTCTTAGATTAGACAGACATGTGATGAAGGCGTGACCATCAGTGTGTATTCTATATTCGTGATATAAGCATGATTTGACAATAAACAGCTTTTTATCAATACACTTTTGAATCTTCCTATATCTTCTGGTCAGGTCAAACAGGGCGTAATCGATTGAAAATTCAACAACTCTGAGAAACCGAAGTTCGCTGTGCGTATTCGCCCGGTAATTTCCCCATAATAGTGGGTTCAAATCCAAAATACACAAATGATGGAGGTGTAGCCTTTTGGATACAGCGTTCGTCACGCTTCCACACTCGTTTCCAGTGTGTGAAGCCATTTCTGGTATCATTGCTGAAATGTTACTCACTCATGCACTCACTCACAAACTCACTCACCCACCCACTCACTCACTCATGCACCTACTCACTCACTCACTTACTCACTCACTCACTGAAGACCAGGTTAGAACTGGTCTTCAGCAAACAGTACTTGTAAGAGGCGACTAACGTGATCAGGTGGTCAGGCTCGCTGACTTGGTTGACACATGTCATCGATTCCCAATATCGCAGATCGATGCTCATGCTGCTGATCACTGGATTGTCTGGTCCAGACTCGATTATTTACAGAAGGCCACCATATAGCTGGAATATTGCTGTGTGCAGCGTAAAACTAAACTCACTCAATAACTCTCTCTCTCTCCCCCAGATCTCACAACAGTTGTTGTGTCATCAGCTCCACCTCAAGGTACTGGAGGGGTTAAAGGAACTTCCAAATCTCCACCTTAAGGATGAATGACAGTCCATAAGATTTATCATCTATTTTGAAGAACTGTAAGGGAGTACCCCATTATCATTTTTGTTCTTATGAATAACTCATGAGTATAAATGATAGCCACAATATTATGAGCATTAATATTTTACTGACATTTATGGGCGTTTCAAAATGTCAGTACTTATGTGAACAAAATATTTCTTAAACAGAAACTGCAAGTGAGTACCCTATTGTCATTCTTGTTTGTACGAATAACTCACGAGTATGAATGATCGATATAATATTGTCAGCATTAACATTTCATTAACAACTTATAGATGTTTCAAAATGTCAGTACTTATGTGAACTAACTATTTCTTTAACAGAAACTGCAAGTGAATACTATATTGCCATTCTTGTTTGTTTGAATAACTCACGAGTGTGAACCATTGATATAATATTGTCGGCATTTTCATTGACATTTTATAGATGTTTGAAAACAAAGATGCTTATGTGAACCAAATAAGTATTTTTTCCTCTAATAGGAAATGCAAGAGAGCACCCTATTGTCATTTTTTCTTGTGTGAATTACTCATGAGTATGAATGATCGACATAATAGTGTCGGCATTAACATTTCATTAACATTTCATTGACATTTTATAGATGTTTGAAAACAAAGATGCTTATGTGAACCAAACAAGTATTTTTTCCTCTAATAAGAAATGCAAGAGAGCACCCTATTGTCATTTTTGCTTGTGTGAATTACTCATGAATATGAATGGTCGACATAATATTGTTGGCATTAACATTTCATTGACATTTTATAGATGTTTGAAATGAATGATGCTTATGTGAACCAAACAAGTATATATTTTTTCTAATAGGAAATGCAAGGGAGCACCCTATTGTCATTTTTGCTTGTGTGAACTATTCATGAGTATGAATGGTCGACATAATAGTGTCGGCATTAATATTTCATTGACATTTTATAGATGTTTGAAAACAATGATGCTTATGTCAACCAAATAAGTATATATCTTGCTAATAGGAAATGCAAGAGAGCATCTTATTGCCATTTTTGTTTGTGTGAATACGCATGAGTATGAATGATCGACAATAGTGTCGGCATTAACATTTTATTAACATTTCATTGACATTTTATAGATGTTTGAAATGAATGATGCTTATGTGAACCAAACAAGTATATATTTTTTCTAATAGGAAATGCAAGGGAGCACCCTATTGTCATTTTTGCTTGTGTGAATTACTCATGAGTATGAATGGTCGACATAATAGTGTCGGCATTAACATTTCATTGACATTTCATGACTGTCTCAAAGGAGTTTATGTAAACTAAATAAGGAAGTTAAGTATTTAATGTCATTGTTAGTTTTCACAGAGGTACATTATTTAAACTCCTCACAACATCTCTGTAGTATAGGCTGCAATTTTCAAGGTGGGATCTTTGGGTGAAAATAACCACTATGATCTATATCTAATGTTTCCTTTGTGCTTACAAAGGTACATTAATGATTGTCCTCATAATACCAAGGAATACAAAGGATATACTGTACTGTTTCTGTATTAGGGCTTATAAATTTGAAAAGATGACGTGTGTGAAAGCAGTCATTATGCTCTATACTTAACGCTATCTCTAGTCTTTACAAAATACATTACTTTTGCCCCTCATAACGCCAAGGATACCTACAACCCTCTATCTTTTGTGTTCACATATATATATATTACTTATGCTCCACATAATACTAAGGATATAGTAAACAATATGAGTTTATTGAGGTGTATCTATACTATGGTTTATGGCTTGTAACCTCAAAAGGTGAATTTGTGTGAGAATAGTCATGATCTATGCTTATTGCCAATTTTCCTGTTTACGAAAGTTCCTGATAATATCAAGGAAATACCAAGTTATATATGAGTGTATACAAATGTACTGCTTTCTGTACTATGGTATTGTAGCTGATGGCGATAATAGGAAACACAGTACCTTGGAGCACTAGTAAAACTATGAAAATATTAGCTTGTGATGTTAATTAAATTTGATGTACTTTCTACAATTTTACCCAGTTCCCTGTTTTGTATAATTGATACTTTGAATATATGTAGCATACCCTTTTTTAAGGGATGGATGCCTTTCTACTTAATGCATATGTTGAAAGTGGGGAGCAAACCGCCTGATGTTGTACAAGGCGAATTATGTTTTTGTTTTTATGTTTTAATCGTATTTCCCAATATATAACAATCAAGGAAGTCAGTACTATTATGTTGCTTTCACATGTACCAGTTAATGACGTACAAAAAAAAAAATCCCAGATGTTTACCATGAGACTCATAGATTCATAGTTGTCAGGTTTGGTAAGGGCACCCTAATGAACTACACATTAGTGTACATTAATGAAAGATAATCAGGAAAAGTTTAAAATCCTTTTTTTAAATTGTAGAGGCCTAAATAATAATTTTGAAAGAAAACGAGTATTTAGATTCCTATGAAAAAAGAAGGCACAGATATTTAAATTCAAGATGTACATCTTACAAAAGAACAGGAACAATTAATCAAACAACAATGGGGTTATAATGAATGTTACTTCAGCCATTATAAAAGCAATGCAAGAGGGACTGCCATCCTCTTCAATAATGATTTTCAGTTTGACATTCTATAGACTGTAATAGACAGGAAGGAAGGTAATTATGTTGCATTAAAACTAAAACTAAATGAAATTGTACACTCACTAGTGAATTTATACGGACCAAATACTGACGATCCAGATTTCTATAAAACAAATTAAAACAGCTGTTGAGAATATGGAAATTGAGAAGACAATACTCTGTGGTGATTGGAATCTAGTATTAGATACTGAGAAGGATACATATGATTATAAGCATATAAATAATCCTAAAGCTAGAACTGAACCTATGGAGAAAATTGAATTTTTAGACTTAAAGGACCCATGGCGTGAGATTCACCCTAACGAAAGACGGTTTACTTGGCGACAGCCAACTCCTTTAAAGCAATCTCGTTTAGATTTCTTTTTAATCTCTCATAATCTAATGCACTCAGTCTCGGACACATATATTATTCCAAGTATTAATTCTGACCACTCAATAATATCTGTTACAATCAATTCGGCACAACTGGAAAGAGGTAAAGGATTTTTGAAATTATTATTACTCATTATTGCACGATGCAGAATACATTAGAATGGTTAAGGAAACAATAAGAGCTACTTTACAGCAATATGAAATCTCTAACCAGGAAGAGGAAGGTTTGAAGTATGAACTAAATGACCAGTTATTGTGGGAAATGTTGCTACTTGAAATTAGAGGTATGACTATATATTACTCATCAACAAAGAAGAAAAAGAGAAATAAACAAAAACAGGAATTGAGGGTAAATTACAAGAATTAGAAATTAAACTAGATACAGAGGAAAATATGACTGAAAAGGAGAATATATTGAATAAGTTAAATGAAATAAAAATAGAATTAGAAACAATAAATAAGGAGAAAAGCCAAGGACTTTTCATTAGATCAAAAGCGACCTGGATAGAACATGGAGAAAAACCAAGCCAATACTTTTTGCACCTTGAGTCGAGAATGTTTTTAAATAAGTCGATTTCAAACCTTGTAAGAAACGATGGCTCTGTAATAAATAAGCAAAGTGATATTCTAGAAGAAACAAAACAGTTTTACCAACAGTTATACTCCAGGGTAGACAGAGGAATGCATATAAGACTTGTTGTAGAAAATATAAATCTGACCTCGCTAAAGTACGACTAGATAATCTTTGTAAATCTTCAAAATCTCCTTCAAAATTTTGGAAAAAAATACGATCGCTACAGAATCGGGAAAAGATAACTTCTCCTGTTTCTAAATCTGAATGGCTCGGACACTTCAAAAATATGTATGCAAATACTGATCTATTCAACAACATTGCCAGTACAATTGAAGATGATACCATATACTCCGATTACGATGATAGCGTTGATGAACAAGTTTTAGATTCTCCAATAACAGAAACGGAAATAAGGGAAGCCA